AAGTACAATTCAACGCGTGTCTTCACATCGTTCTTCTGCTACGACCAACCATATTGGAATAGGACTCAACTCTTATTTCATAATCAAAGGACCAACATTTCAACAGAATTGCAATTCCTCTACTGAATACCTCATAAGAATCTATTAGAATAAAGCTAACAAAAACTTTCACGACAATTTTGGTGCACGAGATGAGGTATTCAGCAATATTTTACTAGATTCACAATGATTGACCTAGTACTACTAAATCTTGAATCCCCAAAACGACAGCTTCAAGTATACAAGAAGTGCAACATTTGGATCTAACACCAATCAATCACAACCTTCTATCAAGAGTCTAACCAAGGGAACAATGTGAACCGAGAGAAAGAGCATTGAGGGAAAAAATCGAATATTTCGAACTCTATATTGGGATGTTGGAATCCGTCAATCAACAATGGTTGGATCGTGTGGAAGATTTATCAGCTGCAAACAAAAAACGAGAAAAGGAAAGATACTTCGCAATTATCATTCAGAAAGGTATTTTTGATCTTATAACTACTTCAAAGAGAAACGTCTCAACTTTGGAATTACATATTAAGGATGTCGAGACCGCACTCAATGAAATGCTTAGGGAGGAAAGAAGAAATGAAATAACACCACGGACATCATCCACGGCAGCGCCTTTGCTTACCGTTAACCTTCCACAACTATCATTAGCAACTTTCGATGGTGATCTTATAAGCTGGAGATAATTCTGGAGTAGTTTCGAAGCTGCAGTGCACAACCAAACATCCCAGAAATTCAGAAATTGAATTATCTAATATTAAGTCCAAAGGAGGGTGCATTATTAGCCGTAAAAGGATTTGACATTGTGCCAAAAAACTACTCTGTTGTAAGTTCACTACTCGAGAAATATGGTAACTCTCACATAATAAAGAAAGCACTTTATTATGAGTTAAGCTCTATGAAAAGAACGATAAAGAATGGAAGACAACTATTGATGCGATGGAGAGGATCCCAAGACAGTTAGAAGCCTTAGGTGGCAATCTGGAGCATCCAAGTATCGAGAGTATCATGGAAAGTAAGTTACTTGCCTGGATATTTGATCGAGTATTTCAAGCCAAGGCACAGGCAGAAAGATGATCTGTACACCAATTTAAAAAGTTGGACATAGTTGCAATAAATAATGAAGTCGCTAGAACCCAAGCAGTGAGGACGGGAAACCTTCTAAATTTGTATACGAGGGCGAAACTTCGACCTTAGCTGTGGTCAAACCAACCAAACCAGCTGAGCTGAAGCAGAATCCCGAACGAAGGAAGGCTAGAAGACCATGCATATTTTGCAACAAGGACCATTGGAATAATAAGTATATTTATCCCACGCTCGAACTCTATTTGAGCGGATTCTTTGTTTGAGGAAAATCACTGCATGTCTCAAATGTTTTCGAACAGAACATGCAACCAGTGATTGCAAAAGAAGCTTTCATGTTTCTACTGTAAAAGTCCTCATAAGACGGCATTGTGTCCAACTAAATACAAAGAATCCGCTCAAATAGCGGACTCCAGCAAAAGACCGGATTCGGCTACAGTCAGAAATTTCATCACTGAAGATGGAAACCGACAGGACAAACAAATTTTACTCTTATTAAAGAAATAAACGTAGTCAATCCGAATCACCCAGAATTGCAACAAAGGGCGTTGGTGCTATTTGGCATTGGTTCTCAACTAACGCTTATGTCTAAGCGATTGGCAAAACGATTGAATCTTCAAGGTACCGATGAAAAGGAATTAAAATTTGCTTCGTTTGGTAGCAAGATACCACAAACATGTCTTACTACCAAGATCGAAATCGGAGTCAAAATTTCGAAAGGGTGAAATAATTCGATTAGAAGTAATCACTGTTGATTACTTGACAAACGAATTACAAGTAGTTAACATCAACAAAAAGGAACTGTCATTGATAAATCAACAAAATCACCTGAACGGTTTGCAAAGTCAGTGGAAAAAACCTGACATCATCATTGGAGCAGATCATTTCTTCAAATTCATCCAATTCAATAAAGCAGAGAACTTGAAATCTGGATTTTCCTTCTTTACACAAAAGTTAGACCAATGATTACGGGAGGTGGATACATAAATGAAGTCCACAATCATAACGTTATACCTGTGAACCCCATTTATGCCGTTGATGCTAATAATTATCCAGACATAGAAAGATTCTCGAAATCTTTCTATATATACGTATACAAGAACAATCTAACGCCCAAGATGATGAAAAGGCGTTAGAACAATTCAAGGGAAGCATATCTAAACACAAGGAAGATATCAAGTTAAACTGGCCGTGGAAAGAAATTAAGGTCAAATTAAACACCAACTATGGTTTATGCTTTTCGGTCGCATAAAAACATTAATTAAACGACTGCAGACCGAGAAAGAAGTGCTTCGCCAATACGACAAAACCATCCGGGACCAATTACAATCAGATATAATTGAGGAAGTTAAACTGGAAATGGATCAATGAAGTATGATACATTATTTACCTCATCATGAAGTTATAGCTCCACACAAACCTATAACGAAGATTAGAATAGTCCATAATGCTTCTGCACACCTCAAAGGCACGAAAAGTCTAAATGAAGTACTTTATCGTGGACCAATAATGCTTCCAAACTTGGTAGGAATATTATTACG